CAAAAACAATGGCTCAGTCCAGGACAAAAATCACTTCCGACCCCCAAACCTGGACTCTATCTGCAGAAAGTACTGCTTTGAATTTGATGGGACATCAAAGGAGTAATTCATTTCGAACTCCTCAGTCCACAGCGAACTGTCAACGCGGAGATTTATAGTCAGCAACTGGAACGTTTAAATCAAGCCCTTCTTCAGAAACGCCCGTCACTCGTCAATCGGAAAGGTGTTCTTCTTCTTCTCCACGACAATGCACGGCAAAAGGCGCACGTTTGACGCAACACAAGATTATGAAGTTGGGTTGGGAAGTTCTCCCCCACCCACCATATTCTTCAGATATGACGCAATCAGATTACAATCTTTTTCGTTCGCTGCAACACCATATTAATGGGAAAACATATGTACATGTGGAAGGTGTTAAAGAGGACATCGACATGTTTTTTGCTTCAAAGCCAAGTGATTTCTTTAATCAGGGCATTAAGAACCTGATTGTAAGATTTCCATGCATTATGGATAAGAAGGGAGACTATTTCATTTAATAAATGTTTTGTTTTGATACATAAGTTGTTTGGGTTTTTTTTCATCTAAAAAAAAGCAACATTAATTTCTTGACGACCTAATATACCTGGGTATCAATAACATACATCACATGCATTGCTCCCGTGTTATTTCTAAAGTAAGGTGTGAAAGTCTTTGAAGTGAAATGAGTGAAGAAGGTGACCGATGATCAAGTTTCTAGTGTGAATTATTACAATTATAGGTATGTTATATGTATGTTTAATAAAGAGATCAGAATTCGAGAACTGACACATGAAGTGGATAAGAAATATCATTTTATTAGTTACTATATATAATAATCATGTAGTACGTGCCAAAGTATAAGCTAAAATACAACATGGATGTTATACGCTTTAATATTTGACACAGTTAAGTTGACAGATAAATATCTAAAGTTAATAATAATAAAGTGCTATTGCCTATAATAAAGCAGCCATTCAGTGAGTAGCTACCAGCAAGTATCATCGTTTTTAACTAAGACAGTGACGATGTGCTAAACAATACTTATTATTGGTTTTTACATGTTGAAGTCATTAGTGAATATAAACATACTTAAAACTGTGACATAGTACTAAACAATTTATACTACTGGTTTAGTTTGGTTATGGGCTATCTGTGCTCTGCTCACCACGTGTATCGAAACCCGAATTTAAGAGTTGTAAGCCTGCAGAGTTAATGCTGGGCCACTGGGGAACACTGATTTCAAGTAACTGACAATAGAATGTAATATTGTGATTTTAGTCTCAGTAAAACGTGAATTAAAATGAGGAACATAACTAAATACAAAATATTTCTATAAAATATTAGTTTAATAGAAGCATTTACGATTATTTTGCTTTTGGTGATATTAGGATGAATAGAAATTTGTATAGCATTTCAAAGAAGTTTACAGTGAACATAGCATTACAAGCGTTTTTGTTTTCGCCCGAAGACTTGTGTGCTCGGTGGAATAAATAAATAATACACTTCAACACCCTTTATAAAAAAGCTCAAATGCAATCGATTTATTCTAAACTTGATTCAGTTGTAAAAAGAAAACTTTCTTTGGTACACTTCTTGGCGTATAAGTAGAACATTATCTGATTAGATCTTTTTTTAAAGCCAAAGTTCAAAGTTTTGAGATGGACAGACTTTTCAAATCTGCACCCAAGTTACTTTTCTGTGTTTTTTTATTAATTATTTGTTGCGAATTTGGAGAAATTATCTTGTGGCTTTTCGCCTTCTTTGCTCAAAATCAGACGATTTTTTTCTTAAATATCGATCATAAATTTAATCTAATTTGATCAGTAAATTGTTATCGAAAAAAAACAACTTCTTATTTAGTGACTCATTTTTGAGTAAATCTAATAACCATAAACTCCGTTAGGCGGTGTTAAGAAAAGTAGGAGAATTAATTTGATGGTGCTAAAAGTTTTCGAGGTAGATCAGATAGCAAACGCACGATATCCTGCTTATCATGTTGATATATACCACAATTAATTTATATATCTAAAAGACTGTGGTAACTGTTCATAAATCAGTTTCTTGTTAACAAGTTGTATGGCATGAAAGTGTATGAAATGTAGCAGCAGCAGTGTAATAGAAAAGTTTTGAAATCAAGACTTTATTTAGATACCATGGAAACATTCTATTTCTTTTGAGCACAAATTTCATTCTAAGTTTAAGTAACAAACACACATATCCGCTCAGAAAGTGTTTTATAGATTTTAAAAGTTGTTTTGTAAATGAATATAGCCATATGGATTCTTTTCTCAAGCTTTTCTTGAAAACAAAGCAGCATCAGTTTGTTGTTGTTTACACAGTTACAGATTGGACACATCTGCATACAGACCACTGCGGCGAATCGAACCTTGAATTTTTGAGTTGTAAGTTCTTAGGCTTACTTCTAACCCACGTTGGTGGGGGATCAGGATCAGTTAACTCACATATTGATTACATTATTATACAATGTTTTAGAATGTAACCACAGGTTTTCTTGAAGGAAAAACAAACAAAAAACATTTGCAACATTTATGAAGTTAGATGTCATACTAGGATTCCATAGTTCAGTCAGAACTACAGTTTGCTGGTAAAGTGACAACATTGTGTGGCCGAATATCCTGCTGTGACTGGTCCTTTTCAAACGTGGTTCTTGCGGATACGAGGTACTTAACAGTAGTGTTTGAGCTGTATCAGACACCAGAATCTTAATGACTCTGTCATCAGTCTTTTTCTTCCGCTGCCGTTCTCACAGTACGTATCCAGCTGAGTACGCCATCTTACCAGAAAGACCGTGACGTGAATCTCGAAAAGTTGTTTATTTCCCCAACTTTCCGGTCAGTTGAAGCTGGAGACGGTTTGGCTCCGATTGACCTTTCTCACTCAAAGTCTTGTTTTCCTCAATCATTAAAGACTCTTTCCTGCTTATTGAGAAGGAACTACAAAGCAAATATATACGTAGTTATTAATTATAAATGTATAAAGTTACATGCTACTAAATAGTTAACGTCATCTTTTATGAAATACTTTAAAAAGAAACATCTGATAATTTCGTCTATTGTAAAAACGAATAAACCAAAATATAAATACAAATGTTAAATTCCGAAGGTCGCTTGGTGGGTCAGTGGTAAGTTTACGGACTTACAGCGCTAAAATGCGGGATTCGATTCTCTGCAGTGGACAGAATGCAGATAGCCCATTTTGTAGCTTTGTGTTAAAAACCAACAGCGATAATACTATAATGACTTCAAAGAAATTTGACAAGCACTACTTAAATAAATTTCAAAATTTGATGTATATTTTCTAACCACGATCTTTGTATATATATATAGCTTGTGCTAAAATTTTGAAAAATTTAACAAGCAATGGAAATTAGAAGTTGAAAAACTTTTTAAGGGAATAGTATGGAAATATATATATATAGCTTTTTATATTTGAATAAGTATCATGTTAAAATTATCAACAAGTTTTCAAGATAGTTTGTTTCATGCACAAACTTACTAAACTTAGAATGAAATTTCCATGGAATTGTTGTTGTGTGTTTTCAACTTATTTACTCGTACAAAGTTATGTTTGAAGTCAATATTTTAGTTAAAGCTGGTAACGTTTTAAGACGTTACACAATAATATTTTGTCTTTCGCTTAAAGAAAAATTAGATAAGCACAGCATTAATAAAATCAGAAACCTCACACATTTTAGAAGCTATTAATAAATTTTGGGCATTGTTAAAAATACTGTCTTTTCAGTCAGTTGGTTGGTTGTTGTTAAGCACAAAGCTATACACATAGCTATCTGTGCTCTGCCCATGAAGGGTATTGAAACCCAAATTTTAGCGTCGTAATCCTGCAGACATGTCACTGAGCCACAGTCAATTTGTATTATAATTTTGTTTCTGAGATTTTTACCATAAATTTGTTCTTGAATTCATAACTTTTCCTGAAATATTTGTTTCAAGAGTAACTTAGTTCTTGAAATCTTGATTTCAGTAACGGTGTCTTAGTTTTTGACACTTTTATGGTCAATAATAGATTTATTTGTGAATCCTGCCCCACCCCATTAAGGCTTTCACCAGTGGTTTCCCTTTTTTTCTTTCCTAGAAGTAGCACCACCACCTCTCTCCTACACACACACACTGTTTAGATTCCTGCCTACGCTTCTGTTAATACTAGGTTCATTTTCAATATATCAAATAGCAGCGTCTTAGAAAAAAAGCAGTCACAAATACGGGATAATTTTGTTGAACGAGAAGAGGAACTTTCCCTGAGTTGTTTCTTATCAACGAAACAAAACTAGAAGACTTTACTGCAAAACCTATTCCACAGAGCTAGTACTAGCGTGAGCCAACTGTTTGGTTAACAGTCCCGGGGGCTGTATTGATTTTTCAAAGTCACTCAGCGTACTTTCTGTGTGGTAGTTAGTTGTGCTCTAAATATAAAAAAAGGACAACCTTGCTTGATGAAAAATTTTTCTTCTGTAAACGTGAATATAACTTTCACACAATCTTAAAAAAGAAACATAGCATGTATTATAGAAAAAATAACACTAATGTGAAATAACTCAGAGCGAATCACTTAAAACCGTTTTGTTTGTTTGTTCTTTATTGCAAAGCTACACAAGTGAGCTGTCTGTGCTGTGCCCATTGCGGGTAACAAACCCCAATTTTAGAGTTAAAAGACTTCACACTTACCGTTGAGCCACCGGGAACAACTTAATTTTGAAAGCTGAGATTAGAAGTATATTAAACAAGATCAAATATTAGCATTGGCTCAAAAAAAAGTATTGAAAACTAAGTAATGAATCATTCGAATCCACTGAACAACGTATAATCAACCAGCTCTCCCCCAAACCCCATTGGCTCAGCGGCAGGTTTGCATGCTTACAATACTAAAAATCGGGCTTCGATACCCTTAGTGGGAAGAGCATAGATAGCCTATTGGGTAGTTATGCGAATAACAACACACCAAACAGCCTTTTTTGAAAATATAAAAAAGAAAACCAAAAGAAACGTAGTATTTAAAGAATCCTTGAAAAATTCAAAGTCAGATGTTTAACATAGATAGAATATGTAAATGAAATATTGAAACAATGTAAAATAAGTTATTAATATGAAGTATTGAAACAATGTAAGGTTACACAAGGGTAGATATGGAGATTTCCTTAAAGCGGTAAAAACCACGGAACAATCATAAAGAAGTCTTATAATAATTTTGTTTGTTTTAATATTAGAAATAGACGACTTTGTAACACCGAATTTGTTAGTTTGCTTTAGTTGGACATTCAACGTACTTTTCAAGCTTCATACTGTCAGTTACGGTTTGTGTTTTAGTGGAACGCTCCTGTAAATCATAGAGTTTAAGGTTCGAGACGTTATGCTGCTTAATATGACCTTTATTTTCAACTGTAGGTGTGGGTGATAAAAGTTTGTTTTTGTTTTAAGCGAAAACTACACAATAGGCTATGTGTGTTCGCTCTGTCCACCGGTTGGAATAAAACCCCGGATTTTAGCATTGTAAGTCCATAAACTTATCATTGATTCACCGTGTAAAATGTGATAAAAGTAACTGTGGATCTCATTATTCGACTCGAATATCCGGACACAGTGCTTGCTGCTAGCTGGCTTCCTCTGGTCAGTGTCCTAGGGGTCTCTGACCTGGCCGTTTAACACACGTGCGATGAGGTGCTGTCGGGTTAAACATTTCAATTCTAGTACCGAGTAAATTTTTAGTGAAATAATTTGTAAAACTTACACTGAAATTAATTAGTTCTTACTTTTTATATTATAAGTATAAAATACCACTATAACGATGTAAATATTACAAAGCAGGGCGTTACATAGGGTTCTGTGCTTAGATCAATTTGTTAATAATATATATAAATGAGTTATGTGATTTAAATTTAAATTATAAAATCAGTATGTTTGCGAATGGTATAATATTAGCATTTAGCTCTGATAATATAGATGAACTGCAAATTATCTATTAATCAATATAACTAAAACAAAATACATATTTTTAGAATTAACAATAAAATCATTATAAATCAAAATCACTTTAAATTATATATTGATAGTGATAGGTGTATAAATGATAATAATAGTAAATGTTTGCAAATCGAAAGAATAGGTGTTAAAATATGCTTAGGCTTAAACTGATAAAAATTCAAGCTGTAAACAACATGTTAAAGATTTGGCAAAATACTAAAACGTATGTTTATTCAAATCTATTATTTGAAAAACTGTTAATTGTCCAGATATTAAGAATTCTTAATTTCTTATTGATATGGTCAGTAATTCAGTATGGAATTTTGATATGGAGAAGAACTTGTCTACAACACTAAAGCCAACTGTTTCATTACAGAATAAATTACAAAAAATATGATATCGCATAATGATAAAAAATAAAACAATTTACAAAAGATATATTTTATTAAAAATATTTCCTATGAGATATTTATTATAAATATAGAAAGTAATATGATTCATAAAAAATAAAAGTTATTACTTACAAATCAAAAATAATGTTCATCCTGATAGAATATTGAGATTAAAATATTAAACTTTCAATATCTTCGTACTACTAGCCTTGATATGGCCTCAATGGCGAGACGTTGGCTAAAATAAAAAAATATTATTATTAACTAGAAAGTAAAAGTATTTTTTTATAACTCTATTGGCAAAATTTCTAACTTATAACTCCAGATTCTGACAAAAAACTTCCAATAGTTAAAAAGAAGTTTATGTAAAAAAGGTTTTTGTTACTTAGCACTGAACTTATTTAATAATTTTCCTTTAATGATAAAAAAAGATAATAAACTAAACTTAAGAAACTTGTAAGATCATTTTTGATTAACTATAGAAATACAGAATATTTTTTAAGGTAGTAAAATGATTTTAAAATTAAATGTGATAAATTACTCCCAATAGTTCAGTGGTAAAAATCAAGTTTCAATATCAGTGGTTGGCAAAGCACAGATAAATTACTGACCTCTCAATAGTTCAGTGGTAAAAATCAAGTTTCAATATCAGTGGTTGGCAAAGCACAGATAAATTACTGACCTCCCAATAGTTCAGTGGTAAAAATCAAGTTTCAATATCAGTGGTTGGCAAAGCACAGATAAATTACTGACCTCCCAATAGTTCAGTGGTAAAAATCAAGTTTCAATATCAGTGGTTGGCAAAGCACAGATAGCCCATTGTGTAGTTTTGTGCTTAACAACGAACAAACAGATAAATTACTTAATAATTGTTTGTTTTTGTTTTTGAATTTTGCGCAAAGGTACACGAAGGTTATCTGCGCTACCCGTCCCTAATTTAACAGTGTAAGATTAGAGGGAAGGCAGCTAGTGATTATCACCCACTTGGGCTACTCCTTACTAACGAATAGTGGGAATGACCGTCCCACAATGACGACCCCACGGCTGAAAGGGCGGCATATTTGGTGGGACAGAAATTCGAACAAGCGACCCTCAGATTGCCAGTCAAGCGCTCTAACCACCTTACCATGCCGGGCTGCTACTAAATAATGAATGATATTAACCCAGATAAGCTAAGATGGATTAATTATAATTTGTATATGTAAATTTATAAATAAATGTTTGTTTTTTTAAAAAAGCTCTCTTCCTTCTGTGGTTCAGCGATATGCTTAAGAACTTATAACACTTACATTCAGGTTAGATCACCGCAGTGGGCACAGCGCAGATAGCCCATTGTACAGTGTTGCGCTTAAACCAAAGTGAAGTGTGAAAACATATCATCTGTGTTGCATATCAAGAAAAAAATAGACGTGAAAAATACTTAAATGTATTTTTACATTTAATGACACATTTCTAATTGCATTAAAACTCATATTATTTTAAATGTTAACACAAAATTGAATACACTATATTCTGAAGACAACGCCAGTACTATTTTAACAGTATAATGTTCAAAATAAAGATCGATATATTTAGAAAAGGACAGAATAGTTTGAGATCAATAACAACAAAAAAGAAAAAGGCTAGAGAGTAAGGGCTTAATGTGAGGAAAGAAGATTGTGATAAGTTTGTCGCTCTTCATAGTATAAAAGTAGCTAATGAGAAAAGACATTACTAATAACTGCAAAAAAAGAAAGAATTTGTTTTTTACAACAATCCTTCAACATTCTAAACATTGAATGCTTGTGCGTGAGACTAAGCAAATAAAAGAGGCTTCTTAAGTGAGCTTTCACTGGATTATATTTCCTGAAGGACTTTCTGAAGAAACTATTGGAAATGTGGAAAGGAGAAACTTTCTAAATATTTTTAAAATTATGGAAGAGAGTGAAACTATAATTAGTAGAGTCGATGAATAGAAAACAAAGGAATCAGTGGAGTCATGGAATGTAGAAGACCTAAAATCAGTTTATAACGGACAGAAATTTACAATTCACGGAATTGAAGAATAGAAAACTAAGAGAAGCGAAGTTGTAGAATTGATGGACTTGGTAGCTAAAATTAGAAGTATTGTGGAATAGAAAAGCTAAAGCAAGTGGAGTTGTAGAACAATGTACTAACTTGATAAAATTAGAATAATTGTAGAATAACAACTAAGACAAGTGACGTTAAAGAACTGATGGACATTTTAGCTACAATTAGAGAAATTGTGTTTGTTTGTTTGTTTTGAATTTCGCGCAAAGCTACACGAGGGCTATCTGCGCTAGCCGTCCCTAATTTAGCAGCGTAAGACTAGAGGGAAGGCAGCTAGTCATCACCACCCACCGCCAACTCTTGGGCTACTCTTTTACCAACGAATAGTGGGATTGACCGTCACATTATAACGCCCCCACGGCTGAAAGGGCGAGCATGTTTGGTGGGATGGGGATGCGAACCCGCGACCCGCAGATTGCAAGTCGAGCGTCTTAACCACCTGGCCATGACGGGCCAAAGAAATTGTGAAATAAAGGAATCAAAGAATGGATAAAGTTTCAATTACTGCAGTTTGTAAAAGGTAGAAAAAGCAAGAATTAATTGAGTCGAAGAATGGAGAATATAGTATAGAGTACAATTAGTGGAGCTGTATGGTGGAGAAAAAAAATCACAATTAGTAGAGTTCTGAAAAGGGGAAATAAGAATTAGTACAGTCGTGGAATGGAGAAAAAAACTACAAGTAGTGTAGTTGTGGGATGAGGAAACAGGCAATGAATGTAATCCTGGAATGAATAAAAATTACAATAAGTGGGGAATTGAAATGCAGAAAAATTGCAGATACTGTAGTTGTGAGAGGGAAATAACAAGAGTTATTAGTGTTGTGGAATTAGCGAATCCGTGGAACAGAGAGAAATCTACAATTACTGAAGTTAAAAAATAAGGATACTAAAATTAGTATAGCTGGGTAAAGGAGTGAAAACTAGAAATGGTGGAATTATAAAATGGAATTAAACTAAAATTACTGGAATCAAAGAATGAGAGAACTAAAACTAGAGGATATGAGAATGGAGAAAAACTATATTTGATGTCGTTGTGAAATAGAGGAAGTCTAAAATTGAAATCTGGAATGGAATAAATACGTTTAATCTACTGACAAAGCAGGGAGAAAATCGTGATTAGTGAAGTTATAGACTGAAAATAAACTAAATTAGTGGAATGGAAAGAAAATCTAAAATTAGTGGAGATAAGGATTGAATAAAAAATATCTAACTGATAAAGTTGTAGAAAGAAACACTAAAATTACTATAATTCTGAATTGGAAATATTACAATTAGTGGAGTTGTGGAATGATAAAAAAATTGTTGAAGTTGTGGAAAGACGAAAATAGTTAATTATAACTATAATGGAATAGAAGTAAACTTATAGTCAGTGGAGTTCAGAAATAAAAACAAATATAATTATTAGGGTTGTGGAAGGGAGAAATTAGATATTAGTACAATCTACATAATACATGAAAAAACAACAACAATTGATGGAGTCGTGAAATGGAGAAAATACAATCATTATAGTTTCAAATGGAGAAAAAGTATGACTAATGTAGTTGAGGAAGATAAAGAATAATAAGAATTAGTATAGTTATGGAATGACGAATAAAATAAGTAAATAAATCTACTGGATTTGTGGAACAGAGAGAGCTGTGGAAGTAAGATAACAGCTATTGTTAAACAGTCGCGAAACAGAGACAAACTACAATTATTGGGGTTGTATAATGAAAAAAATACAATCAGTGGAGTGTTAAGTTGGGAATAAACAATATTTACAGTGTAGAGGAATGAGATAAACTAAAACTAGGGAAGTTATGGAATGGAATAAAATTGTTAGCTAATTTCAGAAGAGTTTAGGAATAAAGATAAAACTAGAACAGTGGAGTTGTCAAATGGAAAGAAATAAAACTTATGGAGATCTGGAAGGAAGAAAATATATAATATTGGTACAGTTGTGAGTAGAGGGAAAACTAAAACTAACATATTCTGTAGAATGCTGAGAAAAAATACAGTGTATAGAGTTGAGAAGTGGGGAGAAGCTTACAATTAGTGAAATAACAGAATGTAAAGAAAACCACAACTTATGGAGTTTTAAGTGGAATGAAAAGTGCAGTAAGTTGAACTATGAAGTATAAGGATGTTTTCCTTTTAGCGAAACTATGGAGTGAAGAGAAAACAATAAACAGTGAAAATAAGTATAACAGTGAAACAGAAATAGCTAGCACTGTAATGAATGAGAAAAAGAAGCAAGATTTTTCAAGATTTAGAGCAGGCAGAAGATAACATTATTCAATTTTTGAAAAACACAGTCTTTATTACATAGAAAGCAACTTCATCCTAAGGACAGTTCTTGTACAGATAGGCTTCATCTGAAGACTTGACCTTGAAGAATATAACCATTATATGACTAATATGAATGTATTAAGTGTTATGATATATTATTACTTTCTACTGAAAGAAAACAGCCTTTTTCAGCAACACAATATTGTCAAATGTTTTGACGAAAATATAAATTAACTATGTGAAAGGTGAAATAGTATATTTTAATTTTTTTAGACATTAGAATTTATAATATGCCTAAAATATGGGTGAAATATTATGCAAGTTTCTGTAAGCGAAGCCTTTTTTCTTTGCCGCAATGGAGAATTACATTACCTTATCTATGACACTTTCGAGAAGTTCTCTTTATACCATTTGTCAGCACGAATGACGCCACCTTTTGAGCTGTATTTACAACTACTCAATTTCAAATTTAGAATATTAGACATAAATGTAAAAATAATAAATATTTCATCACTCCGATAATGACCTGGCTTTCAACAAAACTTTGTTTCTGGAAGTAAGAGACTTTTATGTTACGACAAAACGTAAGTCCAGTAAATAAACTTTAAACAAGCTTATATACATTTCTCTATCTGTAGGCTTGTTCCTGGTGATTAATGTTTTGATTATACCCAGAGGAATGAATTTATCATACTATAAGGTAAATATTACATCTGTCTTCTTAATAACATCTCACTGATCCGATTGATGGATCGTCCCTTGGCGTGACCTCTCCGTTCGTTTTTAGAGAACAGAGAAGATATAGCTCGACCGAATCCTCTTCAATAATTTACTAAGGTGCATTTGGAGCTCAGTGAATCATCCAACTCAGCTTAGGCAAACATAACAATATGAAAACTAA